CTCAGTGACAACCTCCTGGGGCACAGGCACTGCAGCAGGACCACCATTGCCGTCCATCTTGCTCTCAATGACAGTCTCCTGGTGTACGGGCTCACTGCTGTCCAAGCCATTGCCATCCATCTCCTGTTCTGGGTCCGGCTGACCTGTTTTGATCCGTTTGGCTGGATGTTCATTGTCAGGCTCTTCCCCAGCACTGGAACTGGGAAGTAAATTTGGGTAGTTTTGCTTCAAGTACTCCACCCATGCCTGAAGATCACAGTCAGCATCCCCGTTTTCATCACCAAACTCTCGCGCTTCTTCCTCTGGGTACTCAGCCATCTCATGTGCCCAAAAGTCATCGAAGAGAGGGTGCGACTTGACCTGTTGCAGAAGCTCCTCAAAAACACCTGTGTCCTCAATGCAGTTAAAGTCGTCTGATGTAACTGGACCCTGCCACTTCGGCAAACTGCTGAGACCCCAGTTGATCGAGGGACCACAACCCTCAAGTTGCTCTTCAACTTCTTTCTTGATAGCTTTCTCAAGTGATGGTGTCGGCGCAGGCTCATCTCTGGGTTTTGCAGATTCGGAATGGGAATCGCCTTGTTCAATCTCCGCGTCCTCCTGCTCTTCTGATCCAGGAACTTTGATGTCAGTCTTGGAGAGCCAATGCCCCACAGCCGCAAGTGTTTGCGATCTGGGCAAGTCCTCAAAGAACTTGGTGAAGTCTTCTTTTGAATCTGAGGTGAAGAAAGGCAGTGAAGCCTGAACACATCTCACAATCGACGCGGGAATCTCAAAATAATCCAATGAACAACACTAAAAAAGCAGCCCGGCCCTACCCTACAATATAGGAAACAAATTCAGTTCAGCCTTGCCTAGGCACTAGGCATCCCAGAAAAAGAACGCCTTGTAAATCTGAAATCCTATTCTTTTGCAAACCCAGCAACTTTGACTGTGATGCTATCCGCGTTCACGGCTCGTTCCAGAAAGACAAATCCAGCTGGCAAAACCATAACATCACCGGCCAATACTTGGGCCACATGGAAGCTTGGTAAAGCGCCAGGCTGCAAGCCATCTGAAGTGAAGCCTTTGAGGTCCTCGATGATCTCCTTCAGCGACTCATGTTCCATGTACTCGCCAACCTTAATTCAATCCAGGCTTTGGACAGATGGCACCATGCTTGGCCCTACTACAACCAACCGGCTATTTGCCTAGCCTAGTCATACTGCTGTACTCATCCTTTATGTGTGTGTGTATAGTTCGTGGATCAGAGAGATTGTGTATTGTTTCTAGTGCCTGGTAACCTCTGAAGGCCGCGCCAAAGCCAATAGACGGCTTCCGTGCACTTGGAATCTGATTGACGACAAGAAGTGTTGTTCAAGGCCACAGTAGGACATGTTCTTCGCAAGCCCCGTCAAACGATTCTTGAAGATGTCAGAGAACACCGCATTTGGATCAGCCTTCTTGGCTTGTTCAAAGCCCGCCTTCCTCAGGCAACAAGGAGAAACAATCACCAAAGTCCGGGTGTGAACAAACATTCAACAGTAGCACTTAAAAGCAGACTTGAAAATCTTTGGATTGTTGCCACTTGTTGCAAGATATATATATATATATGTCTATATATAAGATTCAGCATGTTCCATGATTTTCCCAAGTGTCACTTGCTCAAAATGGCGAACAAACGCGTCTTGGTCAAGATGAACCATAGTGCCATCGCTCAGACCCGGCTCCATGTTCTCAGGGATATCGCAAGCAAGAGTGATTGCCTGCTGCAAGGTTGACATGCGTCACAGTCACAACTCAACTCATTTCTTTCATTTCCCTTTTGGTCCAGTTACTATACCAACCAGCTTTGATCGGCCTCCATGAGATCACCATGCTTCTCCATATCAATTCCCAGTGGCGCAGAGAGTCGTTCCTTCGGGTTTCCTTTGTCAGCGGCAAGAGCAATTGAGTTCTCATACTGCTGTCGAAAACCTGAGGCTGCATTTGTGAATGCAGTCTCGCTTTCTTTCTCAACCTGAGGTGTGCATCTTGGAGACTGGTTTGGTCACCCAAACCCGAACATACCCAATTCCCAACCATGAACCTAGCCTTGCTAATCGCTATAGACAAGCCACCCCCAAGGTTTTCAGAATGCTCTTGCCCTTCTTCGGTCTCAAAATGAACGGCATTCCCTCTTGAATGTGCGTATGGCCCTTTGTAAGTCGATCCCTCACATCAAAGTTGATAACGGGGACCCTTCTCAGAGTTGGAAACTTTGCGAGCTCACGAATGACTGGCGGGTCAGCATCTGTCAATTCATAAGCAGTCGTACTCATACGAGTGGTTGAAGCCTTTTTCTCCTTCTCCTTATTAGGAGCATTGGCCTCAGAAGTTCTGATTCAAAAGTAGCTCAGTAGCCCAGTGACACCTGGACAAGCTTTTTGCCAAGGATTGGCCGACTTTGACGCCAACCCATAATTGACATGACTCAAACAAGGATCGCATACACACCCACTGAAAATCTGCCAAAACACTTTGGCTTTCTTTTTGGCCAACGCGTCTAGTCTTTTCTTTTCTTTCTTGTGCTCCTGGTCCCTTGCCTAAGTGACAGGTGAATATCAGTGATGAATATCAGTGGTGAATCTCATAGCAATCACCAAAAGATAGGTGGTGAGAAGAAAGGCAGTTTTGAGGCATTGGCCTCACATGACACAAATCCATCCCGCCTTCTTCAACTCCTTCGCCTCACTTTCGTGATCCTTCTTCACTGACTGCAACACAGTTAGCACCTTGTTCAGGTTCCTTACCTGGGTTTGATGCAACTCAAGTTGCGCCTTTGCTTCTTGTTCCTGGGCACGTGGTCACGTGGGCACAGCTGTTGAACCTTTTCATTGGTTGATAGTAGATAGTAGCATGGTTTATCATGTGGCAAGCCTGCAAACAAAGGACTCAAGTGACATCTGGGGCGGGGGCTGTTTTGATGGAGTTAATCCATTGGTCCCTTTGCTTTTCAACTTCAAGCAAGTGCTGCACCGCACCAGGCTTTCGGAAGTCTTCCAAGCTTGAGAGGTAAGGGTCAGAATCAATCAGCCGAGTGAAACTCAATGGATCTTCTCTGGCCCACTTGTCATGAAACAACTTGTGAGCGATGACCATCCTCAACTGCATAGTAAGCGCTGGGGACCCACCAATGCTTCATGGTCTAGTGTCAGGTCATCCTCAGACAACTCTAGTTGCCCAGGTCGTACTGCACCATCAGCTTCCAACAACTTCATGCATGACGCATAAGTTGTTTCTACCTCAATTTTGACCCTGGACTTCAGGTCTGCTAATTTGCTCATGGTCTGAATTCTGTACTTCTCCACCATCACCTAAAGTGTGCCAGCAAAAAGGCATAATAGCAAATACTCGGACTCGCACACAACAAAGCACCACTTACGAAAAGGATACGGATAGAGTAAAAGTAAAGGTGATTATATACACTGCTATTGAACCATGGAACCTTGATATTCTTGATTTTGGGTGTTCTTGCAGGCTTCCTGCCGCCAGGGCCGCCAGGGCCAGTTCCGCCAGTGTCACCGTCACCACCGCTAGACTGAGCTGTCTTGGCGGTCTTGGGGTCCTGCGGGGTGCCCTTCAAAATCTCTGGTTTGGGACGGGTGCAAGGAGGCAAAGCTGGTAGCCGTGATAAAGGATCATCCGATTCCAGCACAGATGATTTGTGGAATGCCTCCTGGACACCGCTTGGGATTTGATTGCTTTACACTGTAGTGTTGCGCAACTGCAACATCAAACAAACCAAACACACTG